GGGGAGCCGCGAGCGCCCGGCGCCCGGGACGTGCCTGCGCCTCCGGCCGCCGCGCCTCTGCCGCGGCCGGTCCGGCGGCCTCCACCCTCTCCCGCCGAGCCGGCTTCACTCCGGCTCCCTCCAGAGGCTGCGCTCGTCGTCCCGTTTCGGACTTTGATTGCTTACGGAGGGGATTTGTCTTCTTCTATTTCTTTTTCCTTTTACGATTTGAAAAGGAGAAAAGAACGCACGGCAAGCTGGGACGGTGAAGCGCCACCAGCTGCCCCCACGTGGACACCTCCAAGGCGAAAGGGAGTTGGACGCACACTTGGGCCGGCCGGCCTTGAGGCCTCCACTTCGGCCGGACTCCCAGGCCTGGGGTCATGACTCTCAGGCCCGGCAGGTGGAAGGCGTTGACTGTCCTGGGCTGGACCTGAGCCGCGGCCCCCACTGCAACAACCCGCACCCCCGCCCCGAGCTCACCGACACACCGGCCACCTGGGCTAGGTTCTGACTCGCGCCTGCGACATGGATAAGTACGGCGACCTGGGCCTGGAGGCCAGCAAATTCATTGAGGACCTGAACATGTACGAGGCCTCCAAGGATGGACTCTTCCGAGTGGACAAGGGGGCAGGCAACAACCCTGAGTTTGAGGAAACGCGCAGGGTGTTTGCCACCAAGATGGCCAAGATCCACCGCCAGCAGCAGCAACAGCTTCTGCAGGACGAGACCTTGCCCAGGGGGGTCAGAGGTCCGGTCAACGGCGGGGGCCCCCCAGGCCCACAGGTCCGACGGGATGCCGCTGTGGGCCACAAGCTGACCCCGGATGGTGCTACCAAGCCCCCTCTCGCTGCCTCGACAGCGGGTCCTGGGACGGCCACCGCCGTCGCCTCTGGGCAGCCCTTGTATCCACCCCAGGACCAGAGGGCCAGGCCGTATGTCCGCAGCGGAAGCCACGGCAGCCAGGACTGTGGCTCCAGGGAGAGCCTGGCACGCTGGGAGATGTCTGCTTTCCGCCAGCCCGGCCCCTGCGAGGATCCTTCCTGCCTCACCCACGGAGACTATTATGACAACCTCTCTTTGGCGAGCCCAAAGTGGGCTGATGAACCGGGAGTGTCCCCCAGCATCAGGGTGGGCGTCGGGAGTGGGTGGCCTGGCACCCCAGGGATTACTGAAGCACCGCTGTCCAAACCCTCCGGGGATCATCCCCTGTACCAGCCTCAGCTGGCCCCAAACTCCAGCCAGTCGTCAGAGACCGGCCAGGATGGCGGTGTTGGTGGCCGCGGCTGTGAGAAGCCAGCCGGGCTTTGGACTACCGCCTCTTCCCAGCGGGTGAGCCCCGGCCTTTCTTCCCCCGGCCCGGAGAACGGGGCCCTCAGGGGGCCCACTCAGCCCAGGACCCCTTCTTTCTTGGCACCCTTGGCCCAGAGCTGCCCCAGCCAAGGAGCTCTTCCCAGAACAAACTTGGGCGTGGGGAGCGAGGTATCGGGCACCACGCCCAAACCCACTGTGGACCCTCAAGCCTGGTTCCAAGATGGACCCAAGTCTTACCTTTCTAGTTCCTCCCCATCATCCTCACCAGCCAGCGTGGATGGTTTGCCGTCGGGTGCGGCCCCTGGACTGGGTCCCAAGCCTGTCTGCACGGACCCTGGCGTTGGTCCCAAGCTCAGCCCCACCAGCCTTGTCCATCCGGTGATGTCCACCCCGCCTGAGTTATCTTGTAAAGAAGGCCCCTCCGGCTGGTCATCTGATGGCAGCCTGGGGCCTGGGCTCCGGGAGAGCCCCAGTCCCCCCAGGGTGAGGCTGCCCTGCCAGACCCTCATCCCGGGCCCCGAGCTTGGGCCCTCAGCCGCCGAACTGAAGTTAGAAGCCCTCACTCAGCGTCTGGAGCGTGAGATGGATGGTCACCCGAAGGCCGATTACTTTGGTGAGTGACAGATAGGTGGCATTGCCCACCGTGGGTGATAAGGTCCCTGCGTTTGGGGGAGGGGTTCCCTGTCGGGGATGCCGCGCTCTCCTTGAGTGGCACTCTTTTTTTAGGGGGGGGTGTGGCTTCCTCTCTCAGCTGCATCTCCTGATTCAGAAACTTGAAAGCATCCCTGAACAGAAAGCGGATCTTGTAGCTGAGGCATTACGCACGTGCAAAAGGCGAAGCGGGGTGGGGTTGCCCACGACCGCTCTCAAAAGGAAATGACGGGACGTCGGATTTCAGGGGTTCTGGGTGCGCCCTCAGAGCCTCTTGGCAGTGACTGGCTCATGCAGGACTTGAATGGACAAGCGTCTGGGGGCCGGTGCTTCTGGGCCAGGCTGGTCTGGCTATTTGAAGACCAGTGGTTGGGCAGGGGCTCTCTCTGGCCGTGTGTGTGTGTGTGTGTGTGTGTGTGTGTGTGTGTGTGCGCGCGCGCGCACGCGCGCAGTTGCACTACTAACACAGAAGACTATTCTCGAGCCGTGGTTCTCAAAGTGTAGTCCCCGGACCAGCTGGACCCCTTCACTTGGGGACTGGTTAGAAATGCAAACGATACAGGGCCCCACCCCACACCTGCTGAAACTTGGAGGGGGGACGGGGCGTGGGGGAGAAGGGGCCGGACACCTGTGCGCTAGGTGTCTCCTAACTCAGCCCCCACCCGAGGTTCCAGCCCCGCAGCCAGGTGACATCCACAGCCACGGCGCCCAGTGGGGTGGAAGACGCTCCTTACTGGTTTTACTCACAGTTTCCGGTTTTGTTTTATTCTCTTTTTGGAACCTCAAACTCTCGGAGTCTGCGGGCTTCAGGTTTTTTTTTTCTCTGTGCAGTGTTTGGAGGCAGCCGTCTTGCCCTGTGGGGTAACGACACCGTGGTCTCATGGGAGAACTAACTAGAAAGCCTGTTTTTAGAAGAGTCTGAGGGTTGTTTTTGTCTTTTTTTTTTTTCTTCCGTTTTTGAGCTCTGAATAATTGGGGTCTTGATTTCCCCATCTGAGGGCTGAGAGCCTTGGGAAGCTGAGTCCCGTGAGGGTGGCCGCTGTGCCCCACGGAGGAGGGCAGGGCACTGGGAAAGGCCTACCTGTTTTTAGCCTGCCCTGTTCTCCGTGAATGACCGGCTCTGGCCTAGGGTGCCTGGAGGGACGGGGTCCCAGGGGCCCATGGGTGCACTGTGCTCCTTATCCTCCTGAAGGCTCATGGGACCAGCTCTCATGACACAGTGGGCGCTCGGAAACTGGGGTGACTTCTTTGGTTTATGTTTCAGAGCGCATGGCACTGTCTTACGGCTCTCTCTTTTCCTTTGCAGATTCACCCCTTGGGGAATAATACTTAGCTGGAAACACTGGGTTTTAAATGTAAACTTATGCTTAATTTAAAAAAAATTGTTTTTAATCTTTATTTTTGAGAGAGGGAGAGAGAGAGGGAGACACAGAATCCGAAGCAGGCTCCAGGCTCTGAGCTGTCAGCACAGAGCCCGACGCGGGGCTCAAACTCATGAACCATGAGATCATGACCTGAGCTGAAGTCAGATGCTCAACCGACTGAGCCATCCAGGCACCTCGCTTAGGTTTAATTTTTATTTTCAAGGTCGTTAGACAACAAAACAGCAGTTTTATTTTGTCAGGGAGGCAGGCTTACACACCGGATCGGGACCAAGGTATTCGCTAACGCCAGTCATTCGACATGTATTTATTGATCACCTGCCTCGGGACGTGCTCTGTTCGAGGCCTTGGCCTACATAGTGAACAGGACAGACAGTGCAGTGGAAGGAGACAGGAGATGGACCAACTAAGTAATCAAGCCCTGGGGAGAGACAGGGGTGGAGGAGGAGACAGAACCCCGGGGTGGGTGTTGGCAGGGCGGTTTCCGGTTTTAACTCAGGGGATCAAGGAACGCCCCATCAGGAAGGTGGCATTTGAGGAAAGGCCTGAAGGAGCAGCATTTGTCCCAGGAAAGGGCGTTCTCGGTGGGCAGATGGCAGGGGCAAAGGCCCTGGGGCCAGTCTGTGCTGCGCCCTGTGCTGGACGCTTACCTTCTACCATTTTATTTACTGGTTGAAAGCACCCTGGGAAGCGGGTTCTGTCATTATGCCTCTCTCGCCAACTAGGACGGTAAAGCCCAGGGAAGTTAGATTACTTAACCGAGGCCTCCCAGGTGACGCCGGGTGGGGCTGGCAGTTGAGCCCTGCAGTTCGGCCGTGATGCCCATGCCTCTAACCAGCATTGCCAAGCTGCCTCCCAAGCACAGATGCGGAAAACTGTTTTATGTCGGAACTTATTTACTCGTCTGCCTTTGTTTTTGTTTTGTTTTTTTTTAAATTGCGGCAAATGTCACCGTAAAGTTAACCATTTTAAAGTACACGGTTCAGCGGCATTTGGTACACTCACGGCGTTTTCCAAACACCAACTCTGATAGTTTTCAAAACCTTTTTGTCACCCCAAAAGGACACCCCATCCCCCCACGAAGCAATTAATTGCTCCTCACTCTCCGCCCCTCCCAGCCCCCGGCAACCGCCAATATGCGTCCTGTGTCTATGGGTTTACCTAGCCTGGATCATTCACATAAGTGGAATTGTAGTTTCCTTTTGGACGAAGCGTCACATCTGTGTGTAGAAAATTCAAAAGACACAAAAACACGCACAGTGAAAAATTCGTATGCTTCCTACCTGGGCTTCTGGTTGAGCGTCCTGGGTGTAATGAGCGTGTGTGTGTATGTGTGTGTGTGTGTGTGTGTGTGTGTGTGTGTGTGAGAGTGAGCCATGGTTCTCCGTGCGGTCCATCTGCTCTCTGTCTTTGCCACTGAAACCGTGCATCTTGGCAGCTGTCATACATCGGCACGTGTGGAGTTGGCTCAGCATCACCACTGTAGAGACATGCCCCGGGTCACGTAAACGGTCCCCTCTGGTGGCCTGTGAGACGGGCCCGTGTGTAGGACGCAGGCCCAGCTTTGGGATAAACTCCCCGGGGGGTGGGGTTGCAGGGCTGGGGCCTTGGGCCCTTTCTGTGTTGCCTGGCTGCTGTCTGCAGAGATTGCGCGGGGACCACAGTGTCCCCCACCCGGGGGGAGGGGCCCCGCACTTGCTTTGACAACTGGGGTGCCACTCGCTCTTCCGTGACCAGCCGTGTGGCCGAGGAGGAAGTCTCTCACCGGAGCCTCTGGCGGTCAGTTCTTGGTCCAGCCCTGCCACGTGACCTTGAACAAACTCGGTTCCCTTCCAGGCCTCACCGTTTCATCCGTAGCGCAAAGTGTGTGGACCAGCTGAGGGGCTCACCACACGGATGCCTCCCCTTCCTTAGATCTGGCGTTATTTGGAAGATTGTGTCTGCCTCACATGCGGCATTTCTTACATTATGATGCACTTTTATTTGCAAATAGAAGAATATCTTTCGAGACGGGGCTCTCCCCAGAGACTCAGGGTAATGTAACCATTACCATCAGAGTGGATGTGGTTCCAGCCGGAAGCCAAGCAAAGTAGATGTTTGGGTTGGTTACTTGGGCCGTTTCCTGGGTCTCACAAAGGCGTCCCTTTGGGCGTTTACACCGTGGGAAGGGCTCGTGAATCCCTGCTGTTGCCTTTGAGAACACGTAGGTCTGAAGACACCTCAGTTTCCAGTAATTGGTCAACTCCTCTCCAAGGACGCTTCTGGCACTTTCCTTGGCCGTCTTTGTGGGCTTGGTACGACGTGGTCCTAGCCACCGCTTCTCCCTGCTCTTTCTTCTGTGTTCCTCGGTGGCCCCTTTGTGTCTTTCCGTCCGTGCGGAGACAGGCAAGGACGGACGGACTCTCGACGCTGCTTGGAGAGTGTTAGTGGTTTGCCCGGTGCAGTGTGGCTCCTGCTTTAACACCGCTGTTTATACGGCAGAGGAAGAGAAGAGGTCACCGTGCCTTTTGTTGGCTCTTCCTGGCCTCTTCCTCCATTGTATCCACTGTCTTCCTCACACTGGTTCCCTCCCCACTTCCCAAGGAAAAAGGGTACAAATAAGCCACCTGTCACAGCCTGGGTTTCCCAGGAAGCTGACTCAGACAGTTTAGAGGACAGGGGGCTCCCCTGGGGGTGCCCTTGGAAGGAGGGGAAGGACGCAGGCGTGGGTAGAGGAGGGCTTCAGCTGCAGCGCGGGCCTGACAGGCCTGGGCCCACCCCGCAGGGAGCTCGGGAGCTGGAAAAGCCCTTCAGAGCTGTCCCGAGCTGGGGCAAGATCTCCAGGCCTTCACGCTCCCCCGTGGATCAGTCATCCATGGTGGGCCGCCCTGGGAAGCACTTGACCTTGGGCGAGGCGGCTCCTTGTGGCTGGGACAGAGCCCGAGGGGAGGACAGGCGAGGCCTCCCTCCGGCTGCACCCCAGGCAGCCAGGCCACAGCCCATTCGGTGAAGGGGGGTCTGGGCAGCCCATTAAAGGGGCCACCGCAGCCCCCGGCATCAGGCAGACCAGACCCCTTTTGCAGTGACCTTTGGGCCCCGTGGTTCTAATCCTAGCGACCGTCCGTCGAGTGCCCGTGACGCGGCTGGCGTCGGGTATGCGCTCTGTGTTGACTTTCACAGACACCGGTAGTCTCTGTTCGCAGTTGGGAAACTGAGGCTCGGGACTTGCTCAGGACCACACAGGCGTCAGTGGTGGTGCTTCCACCCCGTTTGGGCTCTGACGGCTCCCCTGGTGGGACCGGGCCGTCTCTTAGCTCTGTGTTTGTTGCTCCGTCGGCCCCTCCAGATTCACTCCCCACCCAGCTGCTGCGGGGGCCTCTGGGCCTGTAGCACCCCCCACCCCTGCCGCCATGCTTTCCCTCCCTGTGGTGGGTCTGGGGGTCAGAGAGAAGCCCACTGAAGCCCCGCAGGGGAAGGGGCTCTGCCAGACTCGGTCAGGCACCAGGGGCTGCAGAGGCAAGAAGAGGTTCGTTGTAGGGTCTCCAACACCCAGTGAATGGATGGAGACCCCCCGCCCTGCGCCGCATGGACACAGAGAAGA